AAAACATTCCTGTGCCAGGCTCGGCCTTCGTCTCCTCTGGCTGTTAGCACAGCATTACGATGGTCTTCACGTGCACTGCCAGGACCTGCTCAGTAGACAGAGATTGTTACTCCAACTCACAAACCCCACTGCCTCCAGGCACTGGTCCTACCAGAGCACCCCTAACCCCACCGCCACCGTGGAAGCTGAGCACAGCACATCTATCCGTCCTGAAGAAGACTTTCCTATCGCTCAGCTGTACTGGGGACCTCCGCTGAACTGATCACAGAAACTTCTCCAGCAGCTTCTCCTCACTCCGCAGTCTTCTCAAAACTGCTCGGTTTAGCGAAGCCCTTCGAAGAATGATGAAATACCCAGGGTCTTCACATACCCAGCTGATGCTCAGACAGCAAAAATCTCAGCCTGGCCGTCTCCGTTATCCCGTAGACACACACATCCCTGCTGGGGCCTCGCCGTGCCCCTCCACCCCCACGCAGCTTTAGCAGCCTGCAGCTTTAGTCCCGTTTGCAGCCCACGGTCAGCACGTGCATCATCTCTCTGCTTCCAACATATTTCACAACCCTTTTCAGGGAAGGGACTACAGAAGACAGGATAACATCTCTCCAAACATACAACTATTTTCAATAAATCTTTGTATCTGCTTTAACAGCCCTGACCAAAATTCATGACAATCCTAACAGCAGAAATTGTCACGACACTTACAACGAGTTACCGCCGTACAAGAGAGGGCTTCCCAAACTTCAAGCTTTGCCTGTGCAACTTAGCTATCAAAATTCAAACCAACAGCCAGACCCAACTGTATTACAGCCTCCCGCAGCTACGCAGGGACGCCGGGGCAGGCACAAGGGCTCCCGGGGCAGCAGCGACAGGGGCAGCAGCACCCCGCCCGCGGGCCCAGCTGAGGCACAGGGATCATCTCCAGCTTTCCCCCAGCCCAGACCCAGGCAGCGCAGAATTCCTGTCCTGGAGGTAAGCGAGCCTTGGTGCAATGGGTAAAAGCAGCCAATGACGATCAATTGTACAATGAAAGGAAGGAAGCATTTTAATGGACTTTAACAAAAAAGGAACTTTTAAAAGACATCCTATATCTGTTTAAAATTACATTACAAAAATGGCATAATGAATGTCCCTATTTTCACAAAAGGATATATTCACTTACTGTAAACTCTTGGCAGACTGAACACTGTAGTCTACAGGATAACAACCGTACATTTAAGCTATCACTTCCCAATTATACACAAATTGATAATTCACTGCCATGGGGGAAAATGAGCCCAACAATACATCATTCTTACAGCAGCTAATTGGGCATGGAGTGTGCCAGCTCTGGTAGTAAATGGTAAATAATGCATACAGTATATCAAATTTTGCATGTAGACAGACAAGTTAATTTGCTTCCCACTAAAGAAAAAGGACCTTTAAAGAAGCGAATCATTTCTCTCAATACTAACGTGCAAGATTGCCTTCACGCATACACCTACCATTACATATGTCCTTCATGCAGAAAATATTTATTAACAAGCACCACTTTTCAAGATGCATGTGTGTACACGTGCGTGTAGATATATGCATACATATGTGCATACAGACACACGGAGAACCCTAAAATTCAAATAAAATCTACTGTGAATACAGGGACATTGAAGTCTCAGAGCTTCCAAGAATAAGGCACATCTGTAAAGTTTTCTAGGAGACTGATACGGGGTTACCTCTGTACCAAAGGCTTCTCAATTACATGCCTTTTATTTTTGCAGGTTTTAGGAAAATTAAATGCAATTCATTGGCAATGTCCAACTGCTTTTTCATGTAAAAATGGAGCTACTCACTGCTGGAAAGTTAGAGAGTAGAACTAGCTGCAGATTTTTTTTGTTTGGTTGTGTTTTGTGTGGTGGTTTGTTTTTTTTAAACAAAACAAAACATCCAGCCCTTCTTAGGGGCCTTTGAGTTTAAAACATGAAAGAAATGACTCTGCTTTTCTCCTTCCCCACAGGCAAAAAAACCCATGCACATCTAAGCAACTCTCAAGCAACCTGTGCTCACCTGAGCGGTGTGTTGCCCTCCTCATAGCACGTCTTCTCCTGAGCTACGATCACTCACTCACCGCTCCACAGAAGACTTGGTATAAAGAGAAGATATTTAGACTCAGAGCTTGAAAACTGAACAAACTTCCTCGATATAGAATAACTCTTACTTTCTTTTTTTTAAGGTAGTTAGAAAAAAAAAAAAAATCACCTTGACAAAAACACCGGTGATGTTGCATATTGATGCTGAGGTGTAATGACCTAAATGCTCTCTTCTTTTTTTGCAGTTCTAGTAACACACTTAGATATTCAACCCTTTTTTACTCTCCCCTACAAAGAGAAGAGGGAAAGCAATCCCTTACGTGTTTTCCTGGCTGACGCTGAAGGAACTCGTCAACCCACAGCAGGATGCAGTGAGATCCAAAACTGGGCTCTTTGTAGTTGAAAAGGAAAATCTGCAGCCAACTGGAAGTGACTTCTGATGGAAACTTCATGATTTTCCTTTTCCAACAGATTAATTGAAGGAAAAGTTTAATTTGATGTTTCATTACGGTATCTATTGGCAACTGATATTCAGTGATAGCTGATACGCTTGCAATTTGGGAGTAAAAGCTTTTTTCCTTCATGCAAATGGAATCCCACATTTGGTACTGATAATTCAGAGGGATTTGGCCCCATTTCCAAATTATCTAAGGATCCAAACTCATGATGCTTATTATTTTTCAAATCTTATGTTTTCTAAGACAAACTGGAGTTCACATTCGCTCATATTCCCTTGCATGTTTAAACCCTTAGAAAATAGCTGGTTCGTGTTTCAAAGGGTCTGATTTTCTAATCACAAGGACTAGAATTTTCTCCTTCGTATTTTATTTTTGTTTTTCAAAATTCTCAAGTAAGCCACAGCCTCCAAATGCTGAGAAACTATCGCAGATAGCACATTATCAAATACCTTCGCGAGAACTCCCCAACCCACTGTAGACCCGTGCAAGGTCAGCAAGGGCTGCACATGGGGCAGCCACCTCGAGTAACCATCCCCTCAGGGTCCTCACCAGCACCCAGGAACAGATTCCCAAACGCATACAGGCAACTAGCAAACAGGCAAGCCCTGTGCTCCAAAAAGCATCAATTTTGCTGACACCAAACCACGAAACGCGACAGTCCGAAAGCACAACCGAGTAACCCGCAACCCATCGCTGAGCAAGTGCACCGCAGTGCTGCTAACATCAACGCATGATACCATGCCCTGACATGGAGCACCACTGCCGACAATGAGCTGCAGACAAAACAGCTTAAAATCCCACTGCCGGATTATTGCTGTCCTGGGTGACACCACGTGGCTGTGGGCTAGGGGGGCAGAACGCCACATCCCAGGGCTCTTCCTGGCAGATGCTGCCAGTCACAGACCTGACGAGGGGAGCAGCAAGACACTGCATATTGGAGCAACCCTTGGCGTTTCTGTCTATGGTTTCTGTGTGCTGCTCCCAAATAAAGCCGGCACTGTTTGCAGAAACTTAGACTGTCCTTAAAAAAAAAAAAGACAACAACAAAAACCCCAACACGGACATTCTTTGCATCACCCACACCTGCAGGTGACTAAGGGACACAGGGCCTTTTCAGCTGATCCCAGCGTGTCAGAGAAAAGACCATGATTAAAAATACAATGACGATGACATTTCTGTCCAGTTGTGCTCTGGCCTGGACTGCTTGGTGAGAAATCGTTTTTAGAGCCACATTTGGAAACACTGGATCACCCAAAAGTTCAGAGAGAAACAGTTTTGGAAACTGTCGGCCTGGTGTTTCATTCCCTATCCCACCATCTATCACCACACCTGAGCCACTCTGGGATTTTGTAAGCAGGGCAGGATACTGTTCCCACTCGGCAGAGCTCACTTCAACTGGAAAGGTGGTGGGAGGTGGGGTATCTCTGCCGGCTCCTACAAAGCAGAAATTATAAATCATGTCCACACACAGCAAAGTTAAAACAAACACCTTAAAGAAATAACTTACCTGAATATTTAGAAGAAAACAATTTAAAAATATTAAAGGTAATTCTCATGGGGACTAATGTAATACCAAATGGAAATAAACTAATATTTTCATTCCACTAAACAAAATGAAGACAGAACCCACATGTAAAACAGAACCACAGAGTTTGCACTGGAAAGACAGCTTAAAACTCCCAAGCCTTGACTCAAAACATTTTTTTTATTAAAGTATGAATGCATTTATGCTTGAGAATAGTTTACATACATTGTAAAGCAATAAGCATACTTTCCAGAGGTGTGGGCCCTCCTCAATATGTCTCCATGCTCAACCTACATGCTTTATCACTGGACTCATACGTACACTCTCACATACAAACATATAGACCCACAAAACATAGACACAGAGCTATCTCTTTCCTTTCAAGGCTTCCGTAAGGTGCCCTAGTGCCCCTAACATTACCATAATTAGGAACAAAACTGTATAAAGGAGCAGCATTACTTGCAAACTATTGATCTGCTCTCGACCTTAAAAAATATCAAGTGAAACAAGTTTTTCCTTTTATTTGAGTTTTATTAAACATCTGCATTTAAGAAAGGCATGACTTTGTATATCTGTGAACAAGGAAAGACACGGGAATCTTAACATGAGCTTCTCAACCAGAACAGATGTTCAAAACCTGATTCCTAAGGGACTGTTTCCTTTGATCTTTACAGCAACGCAGCCCTGGCTGTGCGACGGTGCACCACCAGCTCCATCCCACCAGGGCCACTCGACCAGCAATGCGGACATCGGTAACATGGAGTTGAGGCCACCACGCTCATATCGCTTCAGACCTGAGGTTGATGAGAAGTCACAGTTCAAACACTGACAGACCCAAGCGTCCCTCAACTCTCACCAGCTGGCCTCCTCCGGCAGAGCACATCAGGGTTGGAAAACGCTCAGACAGTGGTGCTGGCTCACTGTACCCCTAGCCATTGTGGAGGACTCTTGCCCACCCCTTTTTTGGTATCCTGCAGTATATAGTCTGAAACTGCAACTACTGGTGTTGGGTGAAAAACGTGGCAGCAGGTATATTAAGAAAATAGGTACAATGAATAAAATAAAGGATAGCATATGATATAATGTGTACATACAAGCATCTGCTTTCATTTTTTACCTGTGAAATGTGAATTAACTGCAGAATGCCAGGCCATTAGTCTAAAAGGCTATGTATGGCTGTCTTAGCCTACACACGGTCAAAGGATTTTTGCAATGCATCATGGAGAAATATTCTTCGGGAACCATCAGGGCTTTCCAGGTCTACTCGCTCTTGCGCATCAGCATCAGCCCCCAGCTAGGAATGCCAGAGGCGCAACTAATAAAATTGCCTGACCAGTCTTGTAAGACAAACAGGAATGACTCTACTTCATGGTATGCACCTGAACTACACAGATGAGCAAAGGACAGTGATGGGTGAGTGAGAGAGATGGGGGAGGGAACTTTTTTCTCACTTTTACACAGCAGCAGATTTCAATGTAATGTAATTACTTTAACGATGCATATCTGTAGGTACTGAATTGCTCTTTTGATTTAAAAAGCTGGTCAGACAAGTGTTTGGCAGTCCTTTCATTCCCCTGTTTCTATTGTCGCTTATTCATCTGTCAGCTCTCATTCCCTAGGCCATTTCTGCCTTTGCTGACCCGTGAATGAGTTCAGTCAGCCATCGTCAGATTCAAATTCATGAGACACTTCCTCTGACGAGCTGTTCCTGTGGATCCGGCCATCGCTTTTCATGCTGTGAAAAGTCTTCTTAAAGGCCTCCATCATGGCATGGGCCAGCTTCTTGGCCTCCAGCTTGCTCTCACACTCTACAGCATGGCAGTCCATCTGGTAGGACAGGTCATCGTTGATCTCCCGATAGACCCAAGCAAAGATGTTTGGGCTGACGTTGTGGTCAGCAGTGCAGTAGGCTATACGTGCTACCTGAAAGGTATCCATGTGGACTGTCGCCTCGCCTTTGAGGTCCAGATGATGCAGCCAGACTTGGAACGGGCGAATTTCCAGAAGGGCATTAGCTGGGTAAATATCCTCCCTGGCGAGCGTGTGCTTCTTCCATAATTCAATGACTGGTTTCTCTGTGCAGCCTGACAAAAATTGCATCCCTGTTGTGGAAACCTTACCCAAATATGTAACCTGCAAAGAAGAGCAAAGATAGGTGAAACACAGACAGCAGACTCCGGCGTTGCTTTCTGCCATCCCAGGGAACTTTCCTTTATCTGGAAAATAAAAGCACACCTCCCCCACCCCCTCCTACCCAACCCTCCCTCAACTCCCCAATTTCATAGGGATTTCCCAATTTCTCCCAATTTCCCCATCACCTTCAGTTAAATAGATTTCAAACTGCTCTCCAGATATTTTCTTTTTCAGATGCTGACTTTGCCATTCAATCCCAGATGTTAAAAATACTCAGTCTCTGAGTTTCAAGGGATTTCACTCTCTTCAGCCCCCCGGGCAGCCCAGCTTTACGGCCCATGACTGTACCTCTAAGCTCTTGTTAGCAAGTCTAAGTGCCAGCGGCGCGGGCCCCAGGTAGCTGTGATGTTGACCACTTTTTTTCTTTTCTGCTTTATTCAGATGATTTATTTGTATCATATATTTTAAACATTAATATTAGGGAGACTGAGACATTCTTAGCTTGATAACGCAAGGCTGCTGAGGGTCAGAAAAGCATGATCACAGCAGAGGATTTTAAACCGTTTTAATGTTTTGTTCCAAAATGATCCTGGTTTTCCACCACTTTTGCTGCTTGTACTTCAGCATCAAGCCAGGAATAGCTCAAAGCTGTTCAAAACTCTATCTTCGAGCAGGGCTGAGACATTTATTCCATCAATTTAAGAAAATATGCTTTTAAAAAAAAAATCTAGTAATAAATCTACCTTACTTTAATCACATCATCTCTGTGCTTTTCTGTCTAGCTCTTTGGAGTAAGTATCCTGTTATTCAATCTGCACAGGAAAGCAAGGTGTCTTTAGTGTACTTGCTGTATTTTGTTCACCAAAAATCAAATTCACTAAGAGGTCCACATCAAAATTCTGTATTGAGCCTGTGCAGAAACATGCCCCTAAATCTGTGCAGCTGCTAAAGAGGCTTCCCTCCTCCAGAGACAGCTGAATGGAAGATTATTTTATCTGGGAAAAGGGATTTTCTTTAGAAAAGACAGATCAGCGCCACCTAAATATAATTATGCAGCTTATTCTATTTATTGCTGTTGTCAGAACGGTGCACTTAAGAACAACTATATGAAAGCAAAATTGCTTCGAATTTGTCTGTTGCAGCGGTAACTGCTTGAGACAGAATCTTGTGCCTCTTCCTTGTTGTCTTATAACCTCATGTGCATTTTTCTCAAGGCATTTGAAGGAAAAAAAAAAAGTAATCACACGCATTTTCCAAACTAATCTCTTAAAAATTTTGTATTAAACCCACAGTATCAGCTATTTTTATTTTGTATATGCTTTAAGAAATGCAAAGAAAAAATATGGGATTTCCACATTTAAACACATTAAAAAAATCATACCCACAAGGAACACAGGATTTGTATTCCATGCAAACAAAATTTTCCACAAGAAAAATATTTTGCTGCAAGCTTCATAGGTTTTGTTAAACTCAGAGACCTAAATTAAGCCATAATTAAGGAAAAAGCTTACAAAACATTATTGGAAGTCCGTGTGGCTTAATCACGCCTGCCAAAAAAGCAATTTAATAGCACTGACATTTCAAAATGGGAAGTCTTATTCTTTGCCTATAAATATTCATGCTTTGCACTGGGAATATGTTAAATCTTATAAAGCTTTATGTTTTTTGGAACAGTGGGAAACACAACAGCTAGCACAGCTAACAAGGCAAGACCTACCAGTGTTTCGCTTTATTGTATTTTATTAGTTATGAGAGCTGAGTTCCCTAAAGTACTGTAGAATAAAACTTAAAAGAAAACCTCAGAGCTCACAGTGCCAACTAAACACATACAAACAGCACATACAAGACCAAAAAGGAATGTGTCTTCAACACACTGTGGGGTATTTCAGAATACATCTACAGTCATATTGCTTTGAAAAGATCAAGATCAGTGTGCAAATCTGCATTTTCGATACATTCTCTGAAGGTTCGTTTCCGTACCATCTCATATTCACAAGCCAGCTAACAAATGACTAACACACACTGTATATTAACTGAGCATTTGGGGCCAGAGTCAAAGCCCATTGCAGTAACACAAGTCCTTTGCTGACTTCAAAGAGATTTGCACAAAGCCTTTATATCCTGAGGAACTGAGAATTAGCCTCTTGCTCGTGCCCTTTGTCACTGCCCAAACACAGTTTTGAATCCCCAGGCACAGGAGAGATGCTGCCACCGCTGCAATGCTTTGCCCCCCGGCCGCTGCTTGGAGCAGAGCGGTACCCCTTGGTGCACGCAGAAGTCAGTGCCTCTCGTTAGCGCACAGCAGTACACGCAGGGAATTGTTTCATGACGGGCTTGCCTGCAAGAGGAAGCTGTCGACAGCACGTCAGCTGCCCTGCCACAACAGTGTGCGGAATGGGAGCGGAAAGGAGAGCAAAGGCAGTGACCTCCCACTTCGGAAGCCTTATCACCAGTCTTCCCAGGCAGTCACCGCTGCGAGTTCACCCCCAGCATACAGAGCATCAGCTCCTCAGCACGGACGGCTCCCAAGTGATGCTCGGGACACCTCCAGCAGCTGAGGAGCAAGACCGGAGCAGGGTGTCACACGGGAGTGTAAATTGAGTTTAATGTTCTCTCTGTCGCTTCCCTGACACTAACTGCAACCCCCTGTTGGCCATCAATCTGTGCATGGCCTGCCTCAGTGTGAAGTTACAAAAAAATAATGTATTTCCTTACAAATAAATAATTTGTATTTTACGAAGAAAAGCACTGAATTACTCTGAAAGCAGACGAGGCAAAAGTCACTAATAAGCAGGAGGGGATGATGGCTTGTTTACCATAATAGGACATAATGGTCTGATTTACTGTTCCAGTTCTGATTTACTCCCCAGTTCTGTCACAGTATAACTGTGTAAGAACCTTTGGAAAGTTGCTTCCTTTAACAGCACTTTGCATCTCCATTGTATAAATCTCATTTTCCTTTCAGGACACATTCATACGCATTTATAAGGTGCTTAGACATTACAACAAAGAGTTCACAGGAGAGAGAATAAAAAACACCTCTGGTTTAGAGCCTCTCTTGTACTGTGTCTTACATAGACACTTCAACACCTAATGATGTTATTTTCTTTTTAAACAAATGATCGTTTTTTCCTAGTTGAGATACAAGCATTTCACAAGAGTAGCACTACCAAAGTTCTTAGTGAAGACAGATGTCTAATATTTCATCGCTTCATGGTCCCCTGCTAAATAAAGAACAGGGACACAAGGGCTGAATATTTGACAGAAAAAATGCAGCATCCTGTTCAGAACAAAGATTTCTTCATTATTAAATATCACCTACTTGTTGTCCATTACACATTTATCCATCTGGAGCTGGCCAATTTAGTAACTTAGATATTAACATTCACAGAGTTGCAGGCACAGTACCAGTATGAACTAACCAAACTAAAACCAGCAAAAGATGGATTTATAGGGCACTTCTCCCTGAGCTCTCAGTTACAAGGTTATTCTGCAAGCAATACTCCCTGCATTTCACTCCTACCTCATCACATCTCACAGCACACCTACCTTTATTTAAATTCCCAGAAACCACTGACCGCACACATCATTAGAGTAAAGCTGTTATAGTACGACCATCTTCCTTTCCGATTTCCAAGTTTGCCAACCAAAGATCAAAGAACAGATTATTCCTTCCATTATCAGATGGAGAAGAAAAATATTTTGAGGCAAAAATTCCCACTGGTGGTCTCTTCCATTAAAACCAATGGCATCTCATCAGTGCGAAGCCAGCAGGAAGTATTAAAAGAAAAAATAATTTAATCTGTAATACTCAGAAGAACCAGGTGTGAAGGGCACAGAAAGACATCATCATTATTATTATGATGTGTGCATGTGCAAACATTGACAAGGAGCAGCAACAGCCACAGCTCAGGCTGAAAGCCACATCTGTGATAATACTGCTCTGACCACCAGTGAAAGTTCACCAGGCCTGAATTATGCTTTGCCTTTCTCTGAAACATGGGGCAGAGGTCACTTTGCAGCAAACATCAGCCCACGAAGATGACTTTTCTGTGACAGCATGGCACATCCTATAGCATGTATCATCCTACACACCCCGAGGCCAGCAGCCGTGTTCCCTCCCCTCTAGCCTCAGTGCAAGGCAGAGTAGCCACAGGTTGGTTGTAACGTGTAAATTATGATCAAGCTGTTGCAGGCTTAACTTGTTTTGGACACTGTATTCAAAGTGAGAAAAGGAATGGAAAAGCCAGCTCAATGCCACTGTGTTAACCCTAAGCAATAAAGGCATTTCATATCATATCTTCTTCCAGGGGTAGGAATATATTCCTTCATGGCATTTTCAGCCTTTTGATTTGTGTGTTCCAACTTTCCCATGGATTTATGGAAGATACAGCTAGCAACAACTGCTTGTGCTTGTTAAAAATTATCCACATTCTTTCCAGTCTTTCTATGGCAAACCAGCATTTTCCATCCGATCCCTCTCTCCCTGGCAAGCCACTGCCATCCAGTATGACATAAAATGCACTTGTGGTTTCAGCACTTCTGCGCTTGCAAACATTTGAACCTTTAGCAAAAGCCATGATGCTCTGAAGTGCTCCTTATTTTACCCTAGCGACTCACCAACACCAGTGTCAGTATCTGACAAAACTGTCCTCAGCAGAAAAGTGCGGTGCCTTTGCCCTTTCACAACACAGCTACAGCCATCCAACCTGTAGAGATGTCTCGTGTCAAGACATGAAGATTAAGCAAAGCCATCTTTCATGCACTGTCCTGTACACACAAAAACATCTCAGTATTTTGATACTGTTGTTTTCAATCCTTTCAGCCTAGTAACGTATAATGAAAATAGCTTTTCATTCTTTTCATAACTAGGCTCGAGAGCTTACCAGCTTTGAAAAGACCGACACAGCAGTTGCCACAGACATTTTCACTTCTA